AAATGAAACTTAAAGAATTTCAGCCATTGTGCACACAGCCAGTTTCAAATTATCAGTAACAATGCATATTTTTAGTACTTTCCTATTGTCTATTTGCGCTGTTTTCATGGTGCAGGTAAGCTCCCTAACGAATTATTTTTAAATTAGAAACGATGTAATTTGTGGCAAATTATGCGCACATTTAATTTTTAGGCCTGCTTATCGGGAGGATCAATGCGAGGAATTCCAGGACCGCCAGGACGGAATGGACGGGATGGAGATGTGGGAGAGCGAGGAGAGCCGGGAGATGAAGGACCAGTTGGAGACGAGGGTCCGCCGGGAGTGCCTGGACCTGCAGGTTCACCAGGAGAGGATGGAGATGTTGGACCACCTGGGGAAGCGGGAGATCCAGGACCGATAGGTCTCAGGGGGCAAAACAATTTAGGAAGATAAAATTAGTGAGAGATGTCAAAATAATTCCTCTCAGTGATATCACTTCTACTATGCAGGTTGTTTTTGTTTGCACCGATCGTTGATGTGCCCTTCTCATTATGTCACAAAATTCGTAAGACCGAAATCTTTATCGGTGCCTTTGTAGAATTTCATTTTTTAATTTACAGTCCTTATTATTTTAAAAACGGCTGTGACTGATATGTTATAATTTAGAATAATCTAATGAAAAGTTATAATATCATCAAAAATGTGGCAAAAGGTTTCACTTCACTGGTCATTGAAAATCAATAAAGTTTCGACGATAAATTTTCTATTTATATTGAAAAGTAAAATATTCGATATGAATCATTCCGGAATTCATAAAACAAGGAAATATTTCAAGAATTTTTGTGATGTGTTCCTATCTAACGCAACAAAATAATGACTTATATACATAAACTAAATGAGCCTTTTCATACTATTATTTAAAATGAATAAAAGAAGATTCAGTTGTTGAGGAAAGATCAACGGTTAAAATCCAGAAGATGGAAGAAAGAACAGGAATGAATCTTCAAAAAACAAGAGTTGGCAGTTTGAATGATGTGGGCTATCTGCAAATAATTATCCCGTAAAAATAGCTGAGAAAATTTTAATTGAAGTAATCGTTTGCACATTTTGCTTTACTTGACATTATAAAATTTTGCCTTTATATGTTTAATGAAAGTTTAACCGTCAGATGTATCTGAACTTTCTAAAAATTCGATCCAAGTTATTGCAGCGTTTCCAAAACAGTTAACCAATATGAAAGATTTTAAGGCCTTATTGCCTTTTGTAAAATGTAAGCATAAATCTTTTTGAGTGATTTTCAAATTCTATAATAAACATAAATTTAAGTAACGAAAATGATGTCGCTGTTGTTTCAACTCTGACAAGGTTATAGATAGATATTTAAAAAATCTGCTGACTGATTTTATTAGGAATCATTAACCGGATACTCATCAAATATGTAAAATCGATGAACGTGCGCAAAATTATTCGACTATTTTGCAATCAAACTTTATCTTTCTTTGATGCTAGAAACTGAAAAAATTACGATACACATAGAATACATTTTGTAAAAAGGATTGATAAAAGAATAAATAGTGATAAAATAGGGGAGAGGAAAGGAACTTGAAGATGATATCTTCTGCATCATTACTCCTTTCACTCCACTGAATGACTTTCAACTGCTTCTAATCAAATTTCATGAATTGAATGAAACATTTTTTCAGTTGTCTAAAATATGTTTTCACATTCAACGAAATCTTTGAAACATTACGAAAAGTTCAAAATTGTTTTTGATTGTAAATACTTGAATGGGCTTCATTAAAAATTGAATAATTTTATTTTTTCTAAAAATATCTTTTTGATTTTGGCTGAAATTTTATTAATTGATATTTGCCATCCATGCTATTATCTTTACCACCACCGATGCTATAATCATCATTATCATTAACCTGAGATAATGTCTGTTGAACAAATGGCTGGCTAAAAACTGCATTTAGTCAAGCGGAGCCGGTGGTGAACTTTGATTGACTTGCTGCTGCCACGGTCGTTGTTTTCGTAATTAATTGGTTTAACCAATTCAATTAGTTTAATGTTTTTGAATTAAATTCAAAATGAATTTTGTTTTTGAAATAAGAAATGCAGAGCTTCGTTATTCCCTTAAATTAACCGACATTTTTCACAGATAATAATAACCTCTTTAGCAATTGCCTATGTTAAAATGTACGTTCTCCAATAACACAATGATTAGCAAATTAAATAAGACATAAAAGTAAATTTGAAATTGCTGAAAGTTTAAAATTCAAAAAAAAGAAGGAAAGCTTTTCGAAAAATTTTTATCACAAATGCTACACTCATTTAATGTAAATCTCAAATTTCTAATATTCAAACAACTCTGCAAATAGCGTTTTTGAACAACTTACAACTAAAATCTTTTAATTTAGCACTAACAATTATTGGTAACATCAGCATCAATAATGCACAAATGTTTACTACTTGATCTTAGCTTGAATTTAATTTACAGCAAGATCCAAACTTAATTCATCACTTTACCCACGCTAAATTTTATCAAATCATGTGTTTAATTGTACTTTGCTATGTTTTAACTGATCCAAAAAAAGTTATTCAGATAAAAATCTAACATGATTAAAAGAGCTTTCGTTTGATAAGCAAAAGAAGAAAACAAAAAAATGGAAGGGCAAAAACTTATTTAAAGAATAAAAATGAAAAAATTTTCACAAATATTTATTACATCAAGATGCACAAATAAAATGTACAAATTTATTTAAATCTGAATACAATAATAATTTCGGCAAATTAAATATATGTTAGAGCAACAAAATAAACAACGTAGTTTTTGATTAAATTATCACATAGAAGCTATGCTCCTTTCTTGGAAACTTTAAACGATTTTAGAAGAATAAAGAATTGCTTATCATATCACGTTTTTCAAGTGCATTATAGTGCTTTGACAAATGTATCATTCTGCAGATTGAAACATAAAATACCTATTTGGCTTATTAATGATTTTTCAATTTTGAATGAAATTTTAAAACAGCCAAGTCCAATTACCAAACACCCGATGTTGCGGTCCGTTGTGGTCTAGTGGTTAGGATTTGCGGCTCTCACCCGCAAGGCCCGGGTTCAATTCCCGGCAACGGAAGTTTACGTGTGTCAAACTCTACGACGCTTTTTCATGTCTAAAAA